AGATCTACAAGTCTTCTTTGTGGAAGGACAGGGGGAAAGGCAAACTTAGTAGGCCTGATTCTGTACCCCAATTGTTTGTCCTTTGCTTGTAATTGTTTTACTTTAATAGCTGTTTCTTCCAATGCATAGTTTCTGTGGTGTACCTTCCTCCTTTCAGTGCTTTGGCTAAAATATAAACAGAAATTTCTTGCTCTCTTCTGCAGGACTTGAAATGGCTGGAATTTTCAGAGTAGACTTTCTTTTTTTCAAAAAAATTATTTATTTATTTGGATTTTAACATCAGCTTTGTTAATTTGGTCTTCAAGTATAAAGTGACTTTCTTCAATGTTGTATATGTAGTAAACAAATCTATTATATGATTAGCTCACACTTCATTACTTTGAAATATCCTAGTTTGTTTAGAACTTGAGCATCAATCATTTCTATATTAAACTATTAACATATAACTATATATTTATGGTTTTACATAGGAATTGGTAGAGATTAATTCTAATATTTTTAAGCAAATAAATCCAATATTATACATTTAAAAATTTATTACCTCTTCATTGGAGAGCCTTGAGAGGTTACATCATCTTCCAATAATTCAGCCCTTTTTAAACTATTTCTTTATTGATTAAGAGCAATGGGGGAGGGATAAGAAATGTGTCCTTATCCCCCCCATTGCCCTTCCAACCCCCCCACTCATGCCCTCACCCCCTGTTGTCTGTCTGTTAGTTAGGCTTATCTGCATGCATACAAGTCCTTTGGTGGATTTGTCCTTCTTACCCCTTCCCTCCCCTATCTTCCCTCTGAGGTTTGACAGTCTGATTACTGTTTCTCTGTCTCTGGGTCTGTTTTGTTCATCAGTTTAAGTTGTTCAGTTTATTCCATAAATGAGCGAGATCATGTGATATTTATCTTTCTCTGATTGGCTTATTTCACTTAGCATAGTGCTCCCTAGTTCCATCCATGCTGTTGCAAATGGTAAGAAATCCTTTTTTTACTGCAGCGTAGTATTCCATTGTGTAGATGTACCACAGTTTTTTAATCCACTCATCTGCTGATGGGCTGTTTCTAAATCTTAGCTATGGTGAATTGTGCAGCTATGAACATAGGAATGCATATATCCTTTCTGATTGGTGTTTCTAATTTCTTGGGATATGTTTCTAAAAGTTTGATCACTGGGTCAACTGGGAGTTCCATTTTTAATTTTTTGAGGAAACTCCATACTGTTCTCCACAGTGGCTGCACCAGTCTGCATTCCCACCAGCAGTGCATGAGGTTCCTTTTTCTCCACATCCTTGCCAGCACTTGTGGTTTGTTGATGATAGCCATTCTGACAGGTGTGAGGTGGTATTGCATTACCAGATATCAAGCTGTATTACAAAGCCACTGTTCTCAAAACAGCCTGGTATTGGCACAAGAACAGACATTTAGACCAATGGAATAGAATAGAGAACCCAGAAACCGACCCAAATCACTATGCTCAATTAATGTTCGACAAAGGAGGCATGAACATACAATGGAGTCAAGACAATCCCTTCAATAAATTGTGTTGGGAAAATTGGACACATACATGCAGAATAGACTTTTACATAATCATGCTGTCCCTTTTTAGAACCCTCAACTTTACTGGCAACCATTTAATCTTTTCTCCATCACTATAGTTTTGTCTTTTTGAAAAATATAAGTGCAGTTATTTAATATGTAACTTTTTGAGATATTTTCTTTCACTGGGCATAATGTCTTAGAGCTGTGCTTATGGTGTGTAGAAATATTTTGTTCCTTTTTATTGCTACATAGTGTTCCATTTTATTAATTTACTATCTTTTTCTCCATTTTTGGCAATTATGAATAGCAATTGCTGGGTCATATGGTAATGCCTGGAGAGAAATGGAGGCGCGGCTACTGGCCAGACTGGGAGAGAAAGAGAGAAGCAAGTGCTGATCAAAAGCTGCCACAGGGTCAACGGATGGGGAAAATGTTACCAGTACTACTGCCTCAGAAAGATCATGTTATATACTATAAGCCTGATCCCAGGTAGCAGGAGTTACTTTACCATTGCTCTGGTGCCTGCTGAGCCTGCCCTTTGAGTGTGTCATTTGTGGGGTCCTCGGGAGTTGCTCTGATATGGTCTGAAGCTGGCCACCAGGGGTGTTGGTTCTGGAGCCTCTTGGGATATGCAGGCCAAGGTCAGCTGCTGCCTGGGCCCTGCCCAGTGCCACGCGGTATGAGCTACAAAGTGATCTGTAGATGGTTGCCACTTGTTCTGGACTTGGAGTTGCCTGTGAATTGAGACCAGATGCTTCTTGTTTGGAGTTTGTGAACCTTTGAGAGATTTTAGGAAAGCCCATAGCATGAACCAACACAGGCTATTTGTATGGAAAAGCCACTGGAAATGGGCTTGGTGGGCCTTCAAGTTGGGTGGTCAGGTCTCAGGGAATCACCAGGGCAGGCAAAAGAGTGTTAGCTGATTTGAAGGAAACTGGGATATGGTGTCAGCCTGTGCCTCAGGGATAGGGCTCATCAAAGGAACACTGCCAGCATTTCTGTCTGGGAGAAAGCTGTCCCTCCATCCCTTGCCCTGAGGCCAGACTATTCAAGCTCCTGTTGAGGAGTAAGCTTGTCAGTTTGTGAGAGTGTTGGCTCTTTAACAGGAACACTTGGGATTCCAGCAACCCTTTGTTTTAGTTGGCCATAATCTCTGCTGATTTTCACAGCCGGAAGTTATGAGAACTTCTCTTCCCAGCACGGGATGCCTTGGCTGGGGGTCTAACATGAGGCTGGGATACCTCATTCCTCAGGGGGGATTTCTGAAGCTGAGAGACAACTCTCCCAATTTTTAAGGGCCATATGTAGGTGTGAGACAACCTAATCCGTGCCTGGGCCCCTCCTATCAGTCTCAATGCAGCTTCTTTTGTATATCCTTAGTGATAGGAATTCTCTTCATGTGCACTTCGGACAGTTTTCAATGATGGTGGTTTTGTAGTTTGGTTGTAATTTTGAAGTGTTCATGGAGGAGTTGAGTACAGCATTTACCTACACCCATCTTGACTGGAAGACTCAAATTAATTTTTGTTTATTATGTAAGATTAGGGTCCAGGGATAAATCTCCTTCCTCTCCATATAAATATCCATCAGTGTTAGCACCATTTGTTAAAAGACTACATTTTTCCTAATGAATAACCTTGGTTTCTTTGTTGAAAACCATTTAGCATACTTCTGTGGGTTTATTCCCAGACTTTATATTTTGCTCCATTAGTCTCTATCTCTTTAAAAAATATATATTTTTATTGATTTCAGAGAGGAAGGGAGAGGGAAGGAGGGAGAGAGAAAGAGAGAGAGAGAAACATCAATGAGAGAATCATTGACTGACTGTCTGCTGCATGCCCCCTACTGGGGATTGAGCCCACAACCCAGCATGTGCCCTGATTGGGAATTGAATCCATGACCTTCTGGTTCATAGGTTGACACTCAATCACTAAGCCATTCTGGCTGGGCTCTAATTCTATCTTTAAATTTAGTTTCACAGTATCATGATTGCTGTAGCTTTGTAGTATTCCTTGAAATGAGGTAGCTTAAGTTTTCCAACTTCTTTTTTTTTTTTTTTTAATGATTGTTTGGCTATTACAGATTCTTTTTAAAAAATATATATTTTATTGATTTTTTACATGGAGGAAGGGAGAGGAATAGAGAAACAGAAACATCCATCAGCTGCCTCTTGCACATCTCCCACTGGGGATGTACCCACAACCAAGGTACATGCCCCCTTTTTTTTTTTAAATATATATATTTTATTTTTTTATTTTTATTTTTTATTTTATTGATTTTTCACAGAGAGGAAGAGAGAGGGATAGAGAGTTAGAAACATCGATGAGATATAATCATCAATCAGCTGCCTCTTGCACACTCCCTACTGAGGATATGCCCGCAACCAAGGTACATGCCCTTGACCGGAATCGAACCTGGTACCTTTCAGTCCGCAGGCTGTTGCTCTATCCACTGAGCCAAACTGGTCTCGGCTAAAATATATTTTTTTAATTGATTTTTTACAAAGAGAAAAGAGAGGGATAGAGAGTTAGAAACATCAATGAGAGAATCATTGATCAGCTACCTCTTGCACACCCCCTACCAATGTACATGCCCTTGACCGAATCGAACCTGGGACTTTTCATTCTGCAGGCCGATGCTATATCCACTGAGCCAATCTATAGTTAGGGCTATAGATTCTTTTTTAAACTTTTTACTTTTAAAAATACTCATGAGAATATGACACTAATAATCTTCTGAGATTGTTTTATTATTTTTCTTAACACATTTTCAAAAAGTATCCAAGTGCTCTGAGAAGATTACTATTTCTTGGAAAGGTGATTTAACTTGACAATTGGTCTTTTCAACTGTCAGACATTTTGTTGAATTGAGCTTTATGATTATATTCAATACTCATCTGATACTTTGTTGAACTATGTTGAGTTTAACAACAACTGAGCAGAATATATCTTTTCTAAGATTAGGTCATAAACTGTTCTTTATTACTTTAATGATTAAGTAAAGATTTGAGTTGAGTTTCTAAGATATTTTGATTATTAGTGATGGACTTTACATATTAGTGTATTCTATGTCTTTAACATCTTCAGTTTGTATTTTTCCCAGAAATTAACTGAGTTGAGGGGTTTGTATGTAATAATTGCTTTGTATTTCTGGACTAGCAAGGCTTGAATTTTTAAATTTATTTTTTTGTAAGAGAACATCTATTTGGTAAATCATAGAGTAATTCCTAGAAGAAATGGGTGTAGGAAACAAGTTCTGGAGGTAAAGGACGGGGACCCTTGGAGCTTGGGAGTGGAGAAGCTAATTATAATTAATGTGCCTGGGGCAGGGAGGGGGAAGGGAAAGAGAAAGGTTTGGCATGCTCCTGCTCGAATTCTTAAAAGTCGGGAATTTATTTGGGAAGTTGTGTGAATGGTTTTAATAATAAAAATATGTGAACATCTTTAATGTCTTTTCATATCCAGAGGATGCCAGCCCCCATCAGATTGCGAGAGCTGATCCGGACCATCCGGACAGCTCGGACCCAAGCTGAAGAACGAGAAATGATCCAGAAAGAATGTGCTGCAATCCGGTCATCTTTTAGAGAAGAAGACAATACATACCGATGTCGGAATGTGGCAAAATTACTATATATGCACATGCTGGGCTATCCTGCTCACTTTGGACAGGTAGGCTGGGCTGAGATCACATCTAGCAAGGGTACTCTTGTTTGAATGATAGTAGCTCAGAGACTTTAATTCTTTCCTACCAGGGAGGATAGGATTCTTTTGGTAGTTTGTAGTATGATCACTGTGGAACTGAGGGTGGAATTGAGAGAGAAAGCTGCAGACCTAGAAAAGGGTGATATTGCCATCAATTCTTTCCATTGGGAATCTCTTATATTCTAATCTGGATTAGAATATGTTTGATACCCTGTTTCCCCGAAAATAAGACAGTGTCTTATATTAATTTTTTTCTTCCAAAGTTGCGCTAGGTCTTATTTTCAGGGAATGTCTTACCTTTCCATGCGTTAGGTCTTATTTTCGGGGAAACACGGTAGTAGCAGCTAGCTTCCTAAAAATTGACCAGGATTAACCAGTAGATTGTTCTTTGAGAGGGTCTGGACTATAATGAGTATTTAAGAAAGTTTGCTAAATGTGTCCTTAATTATTTTCTTTCTGAACCATATTATGAAAAGGAACTCCCATGACAGATGTTTTTAAGTAAGATATTAGGTGGTTGCCAAATAATGGTATTTAAGATTTTGTCCTAATTACCTCATGCTTGCTTTGATTGCTACAACCACTGTGCAGGTCTGCCTCCAGATCCTCTCTCACACACAAATGCATATTGATATAGCCAGTCTCAGCTTTGAGCATGATATTCTTCATTATAACTGCTTTCTTCTTTTCAGAGAAGGATACAGTGGGTTGTTTTGGAATTCTTATTAGTATTATTAAATTAAAAAAAATTTTTTTTGTTAATTCTCACCTGAAGATGTTTTTTCCATTGATTTTTTTTTAAGAGAGAGTGGAAGGAGGTAAGGAGAGAGAGAAAGTCAGAGAGGGGGGGGAGGGGGAAGGAGAGAGAAAGAAAGAAAGAAAGAAAGAAAGAAAAGAAAAGAAAAGAAAAGAAGGAAACAAACATAGATGTGAGAGAGACTCATTGATTTCTGAATGGGCCCCTATTGGGGCTGGAGAACCTGCAAACAAAGTATGTGACATTGGCTGGGAATCAAGTGGGGCCCTGGCTGATGTTCTAACCACTGAGTTACACTGGCCAGGGCAATTGCTACTAAATTTTATTTCACTTAATTTTAAGAATTGTATTTTATGATATGTAGTCTTTTTAAGGAAAAGAATGCAAAATTAAAATAGAATATGCAACACTAGCTAGAAGGAGAAAAATACTTTTCATATTTCCATTATTCAAAGATAAATATTATTGTTTTGATATGTGTAATGTATTAGGAAACACAACCACCAGTTCATCTTCTGTTGAGCTTTATAACTTCAATAGAAGCAGTTTTCCCCAACCCTGAGTTAAAACAAAAAAAAATAATGGGATTGAATCTTATTAGAGTGACTTAGGTTAGTTTTATGCTCATCATGGGGCTGGGAATGAATGAGATCAGCCTCTCTAGAAATACATGATTGAGAGTGGAAGAGCATTACTTCACCAAAGGAAATGGAGGTGTTAATAGCTGAAAGGAGGACCAGCTATTAGGCAAAAAGTGCAGTGTTCTCCTATGAATAAAAATGTTACATGCTATCGCTTCTCGGCCTTTTGGCTAAGATCAAGTGTAAAAATGTTATATGCTTTTACCACATCAAAAATTGATTTTGGTAGTTATTCATATGGTGCATGACAGTTAATATAAAGCAAACATTTGTTCGTATATTCTTCTTAATTTATTTTAAGTAGACACATTAGGTTAGATTTACAGAAATCTGATATGCTGTACTATAAAAGTCCTCCACTCAGAGGTAATCACTGTTAACATCTTTGATACAGTAGATTTACATACTCCCAAGGGAGTTCTTTGAAGATAAACTCTTTTTAAAAAAATATATATTTTATTGATTTTGTACAGAGAGGAAGGGAGAGAGATAGAGAGTTAGAAACATCGATGAGAGAGAGTCATCGATCAGCTGCCTCTTGCACACCCCCTACTGGGGATCTGCCCGCAACCAAGGTACATGCCCTTGACTGGAATCGAACCCGGGACCCTTCAGTCCCCAAGCCAACGCTCTATCCATTGAGCCAAACCGGTCCCGGCTGAAGATAAACTCTTAAAATCATGGGATAGATTTAAGACATAGGTGATATTTTATTTTGTAAAAGAGCTCTCTATATATTTCTAGAATTTACTTCTATAACATGGTATATGCTCTTTAGGTGACAGTTTTGGGTGTTTTGGAACTTAATTGTTTGATAAAACATTTACTTCTTAGGTGGAAAGAGTTAATAATGTTCAAGGGTAATTGTACTAAATTTTGGAACAAAAAATAAAGATTTTTCTGAGTGGGAATACAAATCATAATTTTAAATTCTTTATTTTGTTTCCTTTATTTGAATAAATCATGGCCCTTTGCATATCAGTAATTTGGTACCCCACCCATAGGAATTTCCTGTATGAAGTACCCATAAAAAGGTTCCTATCTGGAGTCTCTCACTTGCATGTCTGAATCATAGTGCTATTTTCATTTAATTATGTGTAAAAATAGTCACTTTTTAACTGCATTGTGTTTGTTAGAACTGCACAGTGAACCCACTGTTCATTATTATGATAGCCTCTAGCTGTGTAGCCATTGGTCTTTTGAAATGTGGCTAGTTCAACTGAGGCAAATGTTAAAGGAAAATAAAATTTGGGGGGAGGGTACTTGATGCAGTTATTGGAAAGGTTTAAAATATGTTTTAGATAATTTGGGCATGTGAATCTTACTTCATCAATTGTAAATTTTATGAAATACGGCTCAAATATTTTTGATAGATATGTAGTGTACAAATTGAGGTATACTATTAGTATAAAATGCATACTTATTTGAAGCCTTAGTACAAAAGATATTAAATATCTAATATTTTTTATGTTGATTAAATGTTGAAATAATCGGGACTTTTTTAAAACGCCGAGGGACGTGGGACAAATTGTTAAAAGTCAGGACTGTCCCACCAAAAGCGGGACGTCTGGTCACCTTACCTTAAAGGACTAGTCCAGCTAATAAATGAAGAAGGAATGAAAGAAATATATTGTCATTTTATAATCCCTGATGATATCACTGCTGCTACTGCCACAGAAGAGAGAACCACCGGAAATAATTATATGTCTTCTGATGAAAGTTCATACCACCACCTATGAAGTGTATTAGCTAAATCAAAACAAAAACTGAAAAACCTGAATCTGATCATGCCTCCTTCTCTGTTTTAGAGAGACATTTTTAAGAGTATTTTGTTGCAGCATTCTTTTTTTTCTTTCTTTCTTTCTTTTTTTTTTTTTTAATATATTTTATTGATTTTGTACAGAGAGGAAGCGAGAGAGATAGAGAGTTAGAAACATTGATGAGAAAGAGTCATCGATAAGCTGTCTCTTGTACACCCCCTACTGGGGATATGCCTGCAACCAAGGTACATGCCCTTGACCGGAATCGAACCTGGGTCCCTTCAGTCCCCAAGCCGACGCTCTATCCATTGAGCCAAACCGGTTTCAGCGCAGCATTGTTTCTTATAGGGATACATTAGGAACAATCTATATAGTATCAACAAAAAGAATAGGTAACTTGTGGAATATGAGTGAATTAGATCTTCTTGTCTGGATGTGAGTAATATTCAAAGATGTTAAGTGAAAACAACAGGAATATGATATGATAGTTACATAAAGTTTAAAATATTAAAAAACAGCCAAAACCGGTTTGGCTCAGTGGATAGAGCATTGGCCTGCGGAATGAAAGGTCCCAGGTTCGATTCTGGTCAAGGGCATGTACCTTAGTTGCAGGCAGGTCCCTGGTGGGGGTGTGCAGAAGGCAGCTGATCGATGATTCTTTCTCATCGATGTTTCTGGCTATCTATTCCTCTCTCTTCCTCTCTGTAAAAAAATCAATAAAATATATTTTAAAAAATATTCAAAAACAGTTGTCTTTACATGTATAATAAGGACATGCAGCATGGCAAAAATGAACAAAACATTTGAGTTTTGATTGGTCCTGGGTGGAAAGAAGGGAAATGGGATTGAGTGCTCCAATTAAATTTGTAATATTAAAATATTTTAAATTAAATAAATAGGGCATAAAGATTTGATAAAGCTTGTTGGTGAGTTAATGAGTGTTATGTGATTTTTGTGTACTTTTTAAAAAAATAAATTCTTATTGTTCATATTATTACAAATGTTCCTTTCCCACTCCCCCTCCATTGCTCTCCACCAGGTTCCCATCCCACCCTCTGCCCTTTCCTCACCCCCCATTGTCCTCATCCATAGGTGCACAGTTTATGTTCAGTCTCTTCCCACATCCCCCTCTCCCCTTTTCCCCAAGAATTGTCAGTTCACTCCCCTTCCATACCTCTGATTCTAATATATTCAACAGTTAATATTGTTCATCAGATTTTTTTTTTTTAATTTCCTTGGTTTTTAGATTCACTTGTTGATAGTTACGTATTTGTTGTTCAAATTTTTACATTTATTTACTTTCTCTTCCGAAAGAACCCCCTTCAGCAATTCATATAATTCTGGTTTGGTGGTGATGAACTCCTTTAGCTTTTTTTTTTTTTATTAGTGAAGCTCTTTATCTGGCCTTCTATTCTGAGTGATAGCTTTGCTGGGTAGATTATCTTTGGCTGTAGGTTCTTACTATTCATCACCTTGAATATTTCTTGCCATTCCCGTCTGGCCTGCATGGTTTCTGTTGAGAAATCAGCTGACAATCTTATAGGTGCTCCTTTATAGGTAACTACCTGCTTTGCTCTTGCTGCTTTTCATATTCTCTCTGTCTTTTGCTCTTGGAATTTTAATTATGATTTGTCTTGGTGTGGTCCTCTTTGGAATCCTTTTGTTTGGAGTTCTGTGCGCTTTCTGGACTTGTAAGTCTAATTCTTTCACCAGGTGAGGGAAGTTTTCTGTTACTATTTCTTCCAGTATGTTTTCGATATCTTGCTCTCTCTCATCTTCTGTGACCCCCATAATTCTGATGTTGGTTCG